CATGCATAAACTTGAACGGATATAAACGTATAGAAAAAACTTTTTTTAAGTTGGATAGATCAAATTCCAAACAAAACATTAATTGTATTTAACAGTAAAACGGCTCGATAGAACGGTAGTAGTTTATTTTTATGACTTCAACGTTTTGTAAAATTTTGAACAAAAGAACGAGATGGTCTTTTACTTTCTAATGAAATAAAAAGAAAAACTAAAATTGTGCTTTAAAAATTTTACTAATAATAACTTATTCTACATCATAGGTACATAAGAAATAAAAAAGAAACAAAATCTCACTATAATAATATTATTAATTAATTTGGATTTGTTAATAATTAAATGCGAAACAAAACCGACTATATAAAGTAAATAAGATAAAACAGCTATAACATTTTTTACAAACCTAGTCAGAAATTATATTATAAATTATAAGCATCGTTAGTCTGGTAGAGACACCATCATATACTTTACCTTAATTGTTATACTATAATTTTTACATTTTAAAATCAATGTTACGAAAATAACAATTCCTACTCAGAAAGTGATGATAATTATATCTTTTAATAACAAATTTTTCAAAGAAAACAACATTCTATGTTGGTCACAGTAAAATCATTGCTATTAATTGCTTGTGATGCTATAACATTGATTTTCATTTTACATTTTCTTTGTGCACCTAAAACTGCATTCAAAAAATATTGAGTGATTCATTTTTTATTATTATCACAGTCAAAATACAGTTTAAATTAAAGATCTTTGTTACTATTTAAAAGCAACTTGCTTCCGTAATATTTAACAAAAAATATAGATATTAAACTTTTAACTTACATACACTTAAATTACTATAACTTTGAATTTCCACAAATTTATATGCTGTCTCTCAAATGAATCACTCCTTATTACATCCTTCATGGTTACATAAATATTTTACAAATTGCATTTTTTTTTGGAATAATAATCCAATTATACGATTTTATTTAACATTTATACTTTTTAAACCAGGTACCAGACTACGGATGCCGACCTTGACAAAACAGCTGATAAATACAATCAAATATCTTTTGCTGTCAAGAATTACTCTTATTTTATAGATTATCGAATCGGCACAAACTATAAATAGTAATGAACTCAGGTCAGATGTTTAGCACCAAAAAAATTCATTTCTTTATAAACTAGTTCAAAGATATTTATAATATACGCAATAGCAGCTACAAATAAACAAAAATTGTACTTAGAAATATTTCGCAAAATGCCCATAACGACGGGAACATTTCAGTATTCGTTTAATTTTTCGATCACTTTCTGCACCAAACACCACAAAAAAAGAAAATCCACGTGTAATTTCATTATAATATTAAGACATACTTTTGTAAAGTGGAAACTACTAATTGAATTACTTCTTTACGTTTATATTACTTATTTGAATTTAAAAATTGAAAAAATTGAAGAAAAAGAATAAAACTGAAAAAATGTATTTGATCTGACTAAAAAATAAAAAACGTCACTTGCATTAAGAAATCATATTCTGGTGATACGACGCAACTAAAATAAATCACCATTTTCAATTACAACAATTTTAAGCTAAAAGCAACATACATTAAGTGCTTTTTAACCGAAAAAATACTTACAAGCACACAGCTAAATTGTCATCTATTTTCGTAAGCAATTAAAAGTGACATTTGTCACATATGTGAAGATGCAACCTTGTATAAAGCGAATATTGTCCTTAATTTAACTTGTACATTTACACACAAAGACAAGAATCACACACGCACCCTTACACTTACACTAGACTCGAATGAATGCCAAACGTTATCGTTGTTGTAAGCAATAAGCGAAATATTTCTCAGCCTCAACAAAATTAGTGGTAAAACGATATTTCTAAACGACTTCGTTACGACGTTCCGCAGGGTTGGAATTGCTGTTGGAATTGCCTGAGATATGGTGAACTGGAACTAATCGACCATTAGCATCTGGCCAAAGACTTTGATACGAACTGCTAGTCGATGTAGTCGACGTGCTATCGGTATGGTCGGCTTCACCGTTGATACTGTGATGATCAGAAGCGGTAACGAAATTAACGCCATCCACCTATTACAAAAAAATAGTATATATTTTTACAAATGTAATGTCACTAAACTTCTAGGTCCCAGCAAGTTACTTAACATGACAACCGCCATCAGAATTTAAAAATTCTGTAGTTAGGTACTTAAATTATTTTTGATGGCGCGCCTTGGCAGTGAAACCTCCTCATATTCCTAATAACATGGCGTTTAATGCTATTGAAGAATGGAGTTCTGCATATAGCATATTAAAATGCAATTAGACGTTTAATGAACTTGCAAAACGAAATACTAGGAATAAAAATATTACTTTACCAAAAGCCAATTTAAAAATAGGTAAAACAAACAGTAAATGTAATAGTGTTTACTTTTGCAATCCTAAATCATGAATTAAAACACTTAAATGTTTCCTATAAAACTACGAAAAGCAAGTTTTTGGGTTTTTGACTATTTATAATATTATTTTAAGTCTTATACTTTAAGTTAATTATAAATTAATGTAACTTTGTTTGTTTTTGAGAATAGATTTGAATTTTAGATTTATTTCGATTGCAATTTTAGCTTTTAGGTTGTATGTTGCATATGTTAATATCAAGCAATCATGTATTACTCCCAAATCCCGACCGTTGCGACATACAGGTTATTTTTAATTACCCCCTGCCAAATGCTATGTGTGTATTGTGTATATATTAGCTTCAGTAAAATAGTATATTTTCTACACCTCAAAAAACAATACCTGTTGGGAAATAGAACGCGCAGCTCGTTGGAACGGATTCTCTGCTTGCTGAACAAAAGTTCCACCCTGCGTTACGTTACCGTTGTTATTCCTCACTAAAGGGGTCGTATCATCAGCATCTGAATCACTGTCAGACTCCCCATGAGGTGTCTCGTCATGCGCGAACACCTTTCGCTTACAAACTGGACAAACTCGACGATTTTTTGTCAACCAGGGGTCGATACATTTTGTATGGTAAGCTAAAAAAATAATAAACAAATGACGAAAATGTAATAAAATAGGAAAATAACTTATGAAATATTCATCATACAGCTACGTTTACATAATTTCACTCTTTTTGAAGTTTTTACAGCATTGTTTTTATTTTTCTTTTTTTGTTTTATCAAATATATAAATGAGAAACAAATAACTTTTTGTTTTTCCATGTGCAAAAAAAATTAACTTATTTGTATAGCATTTTCTTTTAATTTATACTATTTTGAAATTGTTAAATTATATACACAAGTATATGATATAGTAAATTAATGTTATATTCATAACGAAGCATATTGTGTACAAGTGACCCTTGATAAAACATCGTAAATATAACTATACTATCAGATGTAAACAAATGAAATTTTAAAGTAAATTAGATGAATCTATGATATAAACAAGAAAGCATAATGACAATGTTTAAATAAGTAATTTCAAAACTGAATGGTATTTTGTTGTTTCCTGTAATGCAGATATTGTTACTAATTTTATTATTATCAGACATTTACTTATTGATGATTATCAAGGATGCAAAAATAAAATATCAGTTCCCATATTAAGTTTTGGAATTAGCAACTGAAACTGTTACAAAAGCATTTCAAAATAAAAATGCCAATTACAGAACTTTTCAATATAATTACCATGGGCACATGGAAGTATTCGAAGTTTTTCACCCTCAACATAATCATCTAAACATATGGCACATGTATCATAAGGATCTCCCTTAGCAAATTTACAGACTGGAATTTTGTTTAAGGCTGAAGATGAGAGTCTATGTCTACGTTGCCTCCTTCGATCTTTTATAAACTTCACAATCTAAACATTAAAAAATAATTCTTCTGATTTTTTTCTCTTTATAATAAAAAGATAAAATACTTACCATAAAAATAACCATCACTATGAAACATATTCCAACCACAATTGCAAATGGTAACAGCAAATGGGTGTTAATGTTAAATGGTAGTTCTGAATTTATTATTATAAAATAATCTTTATTGTATGTATACAACTCTTTTATCATACTTCCTGTCGTTTCACCAACAAAAACTGAAGGGATGTGTATTCCATTAGGATTTTTGGCTGTCATAGACTCTAAAATATCTGAGCCTACATTATGTACTATAACCCCATCATACCAAGCATCTTGTGCCCTACGAACTTTATCTTCAAATGAACAATTAAAGCGTGCTACCAATAATATCCACTTTCCTGTGTAATTTGCCACCATTGGAGGCTTTGAAACAACAGTACATGCTTCTGGTGGATCAGAATATACCACAAGACCTCTTAGGCCTACTAAAAATTTAACAAATGTAGATAGTACACAAATAATTTTATACATATAGCAAATACTATAAATAGATGTAATATTGACCTTCATATGGCAACGAATTCCCAAAAGTTGAAGGAAGATCTCTAAATTCTTCTTCTATTTGTCTTCCATCCTATAACAGTTATTTTGAAAAGAACCGAATAATATAAAATAGACACTTACCATTGGCAGAACAAGGATATCTGCTCCTATGTGATGTAACTGCATCAATATGACATACAGGCCTGCCCATTTTACCCAAGCCATAGCTCAAATTATTATTTTCATACTCCAAATTGTTTAAATAAAAGATGCTGCCAATCTATAAAATAATAACAAGCAAAGGCATCTCTTTAATCAAAACACAATAAGTCATGTTCAAGGTAAATACTAACTCAAAACATTATAAATCGAACTGCTTAAAGTTTATTGTTAATAATTATTATAATAGTGTACAAATAATGGATATAATTAACCTGCATTAACCTTCACCAAATCACAAATAACTGGAAATCACCTCACCTAAAATCGTCGGTAATAAAAAGGCAATAGCGTTCACATTATAAAAAAGTCTAGCTTTTCAGTAAAATCGTTTGATGAACAACTACTATCACACTATCAAAATTGTTAATTTACAAAAACAAATTATTACATCCAAAACTTTTTGACAGCTTACTAATGAACTATTGAACCATTCATGAAATTTTCTAATAACCATAGCAATGCGTAGTAGTAAACATAGATGTAGTAAACCAATGATAAATTTTCAATGTTTATTCAAGCTCTTCAAGCTGATTCATACATTGACAGCAAATTAAAAGTTTTAGTAGTGTCACAACATACTCTTACTGTATATAATTTATAAAAACGAAATCGAAAACATACGGCTCCTTAATTTACAGTTACATACTGTTTCAAATATTGAACCGCTAGATGCTGTTCATATGCTGTTTTAATAACTGTTCTATAAAAATTAACACATGTGATTATCCTTACCTCTATGATTTCTATGTATATAAATTTAAACGAGCATGGTTCAAAGCAGTTCTGAGTAGTTCTAAATGTAATAAATATTGTAAGTGCATTTGCAGGTGTAAATTATTATACGAAATTGTATAATAAAATTATAACTAACTGAATAATGGTGGTAAAGTGTGGCAAATAAAAATTCACAAGGATTTGTGCAGTTTAAAATAGTGGATTAAAGGGGGCTTTTATTGTTTATTTCAACTGTCTCCTCCAAACAGACATATTTTATATAATAAAAAACGTTCATACATATACAGATGAATTATTTAAAGTAGAAATTGTAAAATGCTAAAAAATAAAGTATGTCGTTATCTCCATGGAAAACCAAAAAAACATTTATTTGTATAACTACTTTAGTGATAGGTAAGTATAATTAATTGTTATAATTGTTAGTTATTTTCAAGTGTTTTTCAGTATGTATGTTGTATATTAAGTATTGTGATAATACTGATAACACAGCTAATGAATCGTTACATCTAAAGGACATAAAGGGAAGAAATGATATAATAAAGCATGATTTGGAAGAAACTGCATTCAAAATAAATAATCTCAAAGAAAAAATTAAAATTCTTGAGTCTCGGATGCCAAAACATTACCCAGAAGTTAGATTTTTGAACTATGTTCATAAGAAACGAATACTTGTAAGTTAAATGTTTACTTTTTTTCTTAAATGATTTAAGGAGCTCTTTTTTTACAGAAAAAAAATAGGANTAAATTTAATAAATATTTTTTATATTAAACCTTAATTTAGATAACAGGAGGAGCAGGATTTGTTGGATCCCACCTAGTGGACAGATTAATGTTACAAGGTCATGAAGTAATTGTGGTTGATAACTTCTTTACTGGTCGCAAATTAAATGTTGAGCAATGGATAGGTCACATGAATTTTGAACTCATCCATCATGATATTATAAATCCTTTATACATAGAAGTGGATGAAATTTATCATTTGGCTAGTCCTGCCAGTCCTCCCCATTATATGAAGAACCCTGTAAAAACAATAAAAACCAATACTCTTGGTACAATAAATATTCTTGGTAATTTTTCATTTAATTAAGAAAAAAAGAAAACTAAATGATTTTTACAGGTTTAGCAAGAAGACTTGGTGCTAGAGTACTAATTGCCAGTACATCAGAAGTTTATGGAGATCCTGATATTCATCCTCAACCAGAAACATATTGGGGACATGTCAATCCTATTGGTAAGCTACAATTGAAAGTTATTTTTTCAGAGAACAGTTTTGGGTAGATACCTAATTGTTTCGTATAACATTTTTAAGGGTTAGTTTACAAAACTTTTACATTTTACTAAATCAATTCCTTTAAATTACTTGTGTCTATTTGTAAAATAGGTATATATTTTTGAATTGTTTAATGTATCAATCTTTGTTTTTATTGCTCGTTATAGATTCAATGTAAACTATCATACGTAAATTGACTCCTCAGAGATTACTGTTGTTTCAAAAACTTCTTTATTAATTATATGGTGAATATAATACGTGTATGAATTTACATTTTATGTCGTCTGAAAAGAAATTAAATATCACGAAGGTTCAATGTTCAATTCATAGTAATTGAATAGTTTGACACTACAGAAAACGAAACAGATAAATAAAGAATTTTTACTAAAAAATTTATCAAATTCTGTCTTTGATAAGTACTGTCATGCCTCGAAATTATAAGTTTTCATAAGAATGCGTATTTATTAACTTGTTTATTTAAGATCTCTTATTGAAAATTAAAGATTAAGTTTCATCAATTTAAATTTAATTAATCTAAAAGTAACATTTAGGACCAAGAGCATGTTATGATGAAGGAAAACGTATTTCTGAAACATTGGCTTATGCTTATGCCAAGCAAGAAAATATGTCCATAAGAGTAGCTAGAATATTTAACACTTACGGCCCCAGAATGCATATGAATGATGGAAGAGTTGTATCAAATTTTATATTACAGGCACTTCAAAATGACGTTATAACAGTAAGTAAATGTTATTCAACTAATTTTTTTTTGTTTAAAAAAATCTTTACAGGTTTATGGCTCAGGTGAACAAACTCGGTCGTTTCAATTTATTTCAGACTTAGTAGATGGGTTAATCCTGTTGATGAATTCTAATTATACCCTTCCAGTAAACCTCGGAAATCCTATTGAACACACAATTAATGGTATGTGAGAATACTTCAGTTTTTTATTCATGTTTTTCGATTTTATAAAAGCTTGGATAGTAAAGAAAATTTTTAGAATTCTGAAAGTCATGGAAATTGTTAGTCATAGTTCATAGCTTTGCCACATTTAGTTAACCAACAGTTGGATATAAAACCAAATTTTTTTTTGCATGCATGTGTATTAGTTAAAAAATGTGGCGCTTTTTAGGCAACATTTAACTAGCAGGAGATATTCAGTCTAAAATATTATATCGTATATAAAGAATAAGCTATAAAAATGAGGCAATAAGAAAATGAAAAGAGCTAAATATGGAATTGAAATTAATTTGTTTGTTTGGCCAAATACATGCAATTCTAATTTTTCGTTATAGATGCGTTATCGAGAAATTCACGTAAAAAATCATATAAAAGTATCTAATAGTACAACAAGAGAAATAATACAATAAAAGCTTTCGAGAAATTACCGACAAAAAGAAAAAACAATTTATGAGAATGTGTGAAGTGTTGTGATTTTTATTTGTTTAATTATGTAATTTTGTAGTGCTCAAATTAAAAATATTTGTTATCTTTCTGATATTAGAAGAATTAATAATATATTATTAAATATCATAACAAGTTTATCAACATTAATTTTCGTAAAATGCTGATTATTATCAAATAACACCGCGTAATAAAAAGTAGTCGGTAACTAAGAACTTTATTTTGTACTTTTAAAAACCCTAAAGAGAACAACTTTTTAAATTAAAACATTTACATTATCAAGACTTTACTATGTAATAATTAAGTAATGCTAAAACAGTACAATTTTGTTTGTTACAGAGTTTGCTACAATAATAAAGGAATTAGTAGGAGGGAGAAGTACTATTCAACATGTGACAGAAGTAGAAGACGATCCTCAACGAAGACGGCCTGATATAACTCGTGCCAAGACTGTTTTAAATTGGGAACCAAAGGTTCCACTGAACGAAGGTCTCCAAAAGACTGTAGATTATTTTAAGAAAGAACTTAAACAATTCAATTATTCGCAAAGGAGCAAAATTAGTGTAGAGAATCCTTAAGTAGTATTAAATTTATTATTTCCAGCTTATAAAAAATAGTAAATTAATATATATTTTTCAAAGTATACGTAAGTTGCTCAGTTATTTCAATAGATTTTTGTTAAGTTAGAGAAATGTAAAGTTTTGCAGTTACGAATATTTACATTTATTTAAGATGTGATAAAATAGTGTTCCTTTTTATTATTTTTCATATTTGTTTGTGTACAAGATGCCATATCATTGGTTTTCTTCTTACATTGATATTTCTTTGATATTTATATTATATGATGTATATAGTGTAAATGTACAGTATCTAATTTAAATAAATTTATACCAATAAAATATACGCGGTATAGAAGTGAATCTTATCTAATCGTCTAATGAGTGTATGAAACAATATCTACTCTAAAAGTTTTTATACCTTCAAGTCTGACTAATATTTCAGAATTAAATGCGATTTATATTGCGCAATCATTTATATAGAATTGTTAGTAACAATCATTTAGATTATATATATATTCAGATTTTATATATTTATTTATTAATATACATTATTCAGATTTTATTAAAAACAGAGTATATTCACACTATTGGGTAAAAAATGAATAATTTTAAGAAACGACAAATTGTTAATGTTCCTTTTACTTTATTTAGATAAAAGACTTTCACTGGATACTCCTTGAACTTTACGTGAGAATCTTAGAATGTTTGATTGATTATTGTATTTGTTAATATTTAATGGTATTTAATCATGATCCTGTAATCTTAATGAATTTATGAATAATTACCATTATTTTATTTTAAATGAATCGTTGTTGCCAAATCCTCCAAATTATACCTAGCAATTTGTTCGCCTTACCTTTTCTTTCTACAATTTTTAATGATAACAACTAACATATTTTGAAAACTTAAGGTTCAAAATAGCGTTGTGCTCTACATATCTGTGAGAAATCAAATAGCTGCATTTTCACGAACATAATTGCTAATTTATTTTTCCTTTGAAATTAATAAATGGTAGTACTGGCAATCAGGTAACTACTTTTCGTATGATTTGGACCAATAGCGACTAAACACGACAAATTCGTTCTGATATTTGTGGTTATGTATTGAGATAGGTGTCAAGATAAAACAAATTTTAGTATCGTATAATGCATTTAAGGTATACATAGCATATTAAGTTAATGCAAAAAATGTTTCAAGTAAAATATCCAGTGGAAACAATGGACGTAAACTTTTGTTATAAATTATCTACATGTTTAGTGTTGTTGATTTTGGAGTTGCTATTTAAAGGTTAGCATAAAGAAGAACTCTTTATTATAATATATCTAGAAATGTTGCTTCACTGTAATGTTTTGTTTTTAGCAACGCATAGTGCAACACAAGCTGAAATTAATAAGCATTTAGAATTAGGTAAACAATTTTTAGCAAAAGGACAGCTCTCTGATGCATTGTCACAATATCATGCAGCTGTTGGTAAGAATTTTTCAATGTCGAAGTTTTAATTAAACTGATAAAAAAAAATTATGATTTCTAGAGGGCGATCCAAACAACTACCTCACTTATTTTAAACGGGGAACAGTATACCTTGCTTTAGGAAAAGCAAAAAATGCATTGAGTGATCTAGATCGTGTTATTGAACTGAAACCAGACTTTACTGCAGCTAGGATTAGCAGAGGAAGTGTGCATTTGAAATTAGCAAATTATGACTTGGCCCAATTAGATTTTTATAATGCTGTAAGTTTCATTAAGAAATTTGAAGTGATATTAAATTGTTTATTAAAAATTATTTTAGTTGAAAATGGATCCATATAATCAAGAAGCAAATGAACTTATTCAAAGGATACAACCAGCAGTAGAAAACAAAGCAAATGCAGATCATTACTTTGCTCATGGTGATTATAGAAATGCAATACGTTTTATTTCTGCAGTAATAGATGTTAGTCCTTGGGCTGCTAATTTATTTGATGAACGTGCTAAAATGCACTTGGCCAATGATGACCCATTGGCAGCAGTGGGTGATATAAGAATTGCAACTAAATTGCAATCTGATAATACAGATGGATACTTTAATTTGGCCACTATATTGTATCAGTTAGGTCATGCAAGTGATGCTTTAAAATCTATTCGAGAGTGCTTGAAACTTGATCCAGAACACAAACATTGCTTTCCACTTTACAAAAAAATAAAGAAAATAGAAAAATTTTTGACAGATGCTGAAACATCTTTAGAAGCACAAAATTATGCAGATTGCATATCATCAGCACAAAAAGTTCTCAAGAATGAAAATGAAGAGCAGATGATAATTTATGAGGCTAAAAGACTGTTATGTTCATGTTATTCTAAAGATGAACAACTTCCAGATGCTATTAACTTCTGTGGTGAAGCACTGGAATTAAACAAAGATCCATACATTTACTGTGATAGAGGAGATGCTTATATTAATTCTGAAATGTATGATGATGCCATTAGAGACTTTAAAGCTGCATTGGATATGGATCAGACATTGGACAGGGCTAAAGAAGGAATGGAGAAGGCTAAGAAATTACAACAACAAGCTGAACGTCGAGATTATTATAAAATACTGGGTGTAAAGAAGAGTGCTTCCAAAAAGGAAATAATAAAGGCTTATAGGAAAATGGCACAAAAATGGCATCCTGATAACTATCCTAATGATGAGAAAATGAAAAAAGTTGCTGAGAAGAAATTTATGGACATAGCTGCAGCTAAAGAGGTAAAACTATATCGTCACACAAACCCGTGCTGCAAACATATCCTTATAATAATCTTTTTCGAATTTCCAAATTAGTTTGACACCAATTAAGATTCATTATTTTATGTTTAAAAAAATCTCCAATTTAAATATGTAATTTTCGCAGGTGCTCACTGACGAGGAAAAACGACGAAAATTTGACATGGGTGAAGACCCATTAGATCCTGAATCAGGGCAACCACATATGCCAAACTTCCATCAGTTCCATAGTTTTCAAGGAAGTCCATTTAATTTCAGATTTCACTTCAACTAGTCAGAAAACCCCTTTTATTCTAATGTTTACCCAATAAAGACTTGTACAGTGAAAAGATTATAATTTATAACTAGTGAATTCAACAAGTGAAAACAAACTTAAACTGATTTTTTATCAGACTGTGAGTGCTGTGTTTATAGTTAAAATGTATATATTACTTTTTAGTTATAAATAAAATAATTTATTTTTTGTTTTGTATAAGTCATGTATTTCCATATGAATGCTGTTAAACACAACCATTCTTAAAAGTTCATACGATTAAAAAAACAAATAAAAACAATGTCATCCCTAGAAGTTTATTGAAAGTAACAAATACGGATTATGATATCAATCTTGCATTTATTCAAAAATTTGACTAATATTAATGTAGTGTTTCATAAAAGATTAATAACTCGACTTAAGAATGATAGTAACTAACATTTAAGTGCATACGCCTTCAATTTGAAAAAGTTCAGATCGTAGCCACGGTTCAAATGGTCGGTTGACACCATGACACTACGCATGATATTGGCAACCTTGAATCTTTCATAAATAGATAAGTACAGGCCTGACGCTGGAAGCTGGCAGAAATTTTAAAATGGCGTGGATGCGCGGTGGCAAAAGTAGGCAGTTTTAGGTATAAAGATTGTAGCCCTCATTCTTCAGTATTCCTATCAGGGGCGTAAATTAAATATTTAAAAGTAGGGATCATTGAGCAAATAATAGACATACAAACAGAAGAACTAATTGTTGATGTTGGTGACAGTGATAGAGATTCCCATGATGACAGTGAATGTGAAAACTATAAAACAAAAGCAATAAGTTAATTTTTTCTTTTTGATAGGTCATGTTTTTACATTATTTTCTAGTACGCTACTGTCTTATCTGTATTAATACTATACTTTACGCCTACTGAAACCTTATTTGTGTATCGGTTCCAAGTGACTTACCCAAATAGGTCATAAATGGGCAAGTACCTGCGCGACCGCTCGCCAGCTTCCTTCGTCAGACCTGTATACACATCGACGTTTACTAATATTTAATATATGTCTATGGGTATACGACCTTGTCTATGGTATACGACATAGATGACATAGATGAATAATCTTTATCTATGAAATAATCTTTCATTTATTTAAGGTTAACTGCAGGTATTGTTGCTTTTTCTTTTTAAATTGCTCATTTATGTATTATTGAAATGTAGGCAATTAAAATATATTTTAATATGTTTTAGTCTAAGATTTTGTTAATTGTTGTTGATAAATTGCTTGTGGTTTGATTTGCATTTTGAACGGATGCTGATGGATAACTTGTATGTTTAAACATGTTTTAGGAATGGCGGAAACAGCTAAGCCTCAGCAAAAGGCGAAAGCCGAGAAGAAAGAGAAAGCTAAGCCTGCTCCATCAGAAAAACCACCTTTGAAGAAAAGGCCATTTAAAAGACATGGACGTTTGTATGCAAAAGCGATTTTTACAGGTTATAAAAGAGGTCTCCGTAACCAACATGAAAATACAGCACTATTGAAAATCGAAGGTGCGGAATCGAAAACAGATAGTTGGTTCTATATAGGCAAAAAGTGTGTATATGTTTATAAAGCAAAGAACAAGACCTGTATTCCTGGAAAGCCTAAAAACAAAAAGTCGAAAGTAAGAGCTATTTGGGGTAAAGTGACAAGACCACATGGTTGTACTGGTGCTGTTCGAGCAAAATTTAAGAGAAATTTACCCGCTAAAGCAATGGGCCACCGTATTAGAATTGTAAGTATTATGATAATAATAAAATTAAGGCTGGTATTAAAATTTTGGTTTCCTTTTATTCAACATGCAAACTAGTTTGGTTTTATTCATTTAGATCGCAAGTTTACATGCATATTAATAACACGAATAATACTTACAAAAGTGATTAGAATATAGTCTATGAAAATTGTCTTGAGTTATTTTTGTTTTTGCTGTTTTAATTTGTTACAAATTTTCAATGATGTATTAGACATTTGAAATCTGAACCCTCTGTGGAAAGTATATTTGCTGAGAAAAAATTTGTATGGTATTTCATATACAATGAGAAAGTTGCATAAATTATAACAGTGTTTTCTTTGTTTCAGATGATGTACCCATCCAAAATATAATAGTTTTTGTTATAATAAATAATAAAATAAGTATTTGTGTTTTTGGTGTGTGCTAATGTACATTGTAATACCTATCCTGTTACCTTAAATGTTTTAATGGAAAGTAATTGAAACTTGACTTATTTTATTACAAAAGAATGTATCATTTTAAATTAATTACATTTTAAAACTCAAAACGCCCTAAAATAAAAAACAAAGTTGACGTAAAATTTGACTAATCTATGTAAATCTGGTTTAAATAAGTTAATATTTAAGTGATGGCGCGTTTTATTCAAAATATGAGCTATTTTAATTTTGAAAATCGCAAAACAAATATTTAGACCTTAAAAAAAGGTTTATGTTTATAACAATTGTTATCAAACAGAAAACTGCCGAAAATGGCTATAATTTTAAAAAGCAGGTTAAAGGCATTCTGTAAATAGAATGCATATCGTATTATTACTGATAGTTCTTTGCCAAAGATGGCGGGACTATAACCATTTATAGAAAATAATCCTGCACGTTTTTTAATTTTTTCAAAAGTTTATTAGGAAATTTCTATATGGTTTCGACATAACATGTTTTGTCAAGAATACTTTTTAAGGGATACAACTCAAAACCTAAATTATTAATGTCTAATTTTTCTAAGAGAATACGCTTTCTATTTCGTTATTGGTAAATGTGTAACAACTTTTAGAGTTTGTAATTCAAAGGAGCCCCCAACATTTTAATATTACATACTTATTTGCCTGTTTTTAATTTGTATTATATATTCATTATCGCAAACAATTCAAATTAGGTTCAAATCATACAAAAATTTACTACCGATAAAGACTTCCTCCGATTTATAGCCTTTCTCAAAACCTTACAAGCAAAACCAATTATACAAAGGGATCCTATTTACATTTTTACTAGGTCCCCCTAGAGATTTAATACGGCCTTTGTATTATACTTTTTATAGATTTTAATATTTCTTAAAGCTTTATATCATAAGCAAGTTAGTTTTATGTTTTCAGTACATTGTAATGCCTAAATCATCTGCATTTTAACGCCATTATCTTACTCACTTCTATGCCACAGGAAACGGAAGTCGTAACAGCTCATCAATCTTATAGGTAAATTTTTAATAATAGATTCCTATGTACTAAAGGTACAAAGGGTAGAATCAAAATCGTTTTTATAAAATATATTTATGTAGAAGCACTGCTTAAATATTTAAAAGAAACTGTATTCGAGACATTGCAGATAAGTAATCAGGTACCTGAGTTTATTCTAAAAGTAATACTAGGGAAAACTAAAAAAAGGTTATACTATGGATAATTAAAATTTAGATCAATAAGTAATAAATAATTCTAACGAAATGTTGCTGCTACAGCTTAACTTACATAATAATTGTAAACATGTACGTTTTTGATTTTTCGCGTAAAAAATTTTTTTAATTGGGAAGTTTCGAATTAAATATTGAACTGAACTAAATAGAATAATTTTTAATTGAAGGTTTGGTGTAAAACAAAATAATTCCATTCATAATTAAAGTAGAAACCCGGTAAATCAACTTTGTATGTTTCATTATTTTAATTTTGCGTTATTTTCTAAATGTAATTAATTAATAGACATTATAGTAATATTAGAGAGACTTTTAATGTTATCCTTTTATTATTATAATTTGCCGTACCTCCATAATTTTCGTGAACTGTACTGTACTATTCCTATCTATTGGAGAATGGACATAGTTAGGATGAACTTCTACACCTGTATCTCTTCGTGCTTTCATGAACGCTTGGTATTAACCAATCAAAAAAGAGGATTAGGCAAGAATTTAAAATACCTGTTCTCCTACGTGTTACCTTTCTTAATGAACGGAAGTGACTAGCATAGACATACGTTCTAACGTGTGCAAGTATTTCTGCATTTACCACTATTCTGCACGAGTTCATTACTTGCTTCGACCTACATTCTTGTTCGTTCATCGTGATGGTGAGCCCTATGTCATGTTGCAATTTTGGTACTATATAACGATAAGTGTATAATAAATATAATATTTAATATTTTTTTGAAACGGTTTTGTGAACGAAACGTAGAACTAAGTGACTTTAAAAATGAGTTTGATGATATGCTTGTTCTCGTACAAGAATCTTGTGTTTCTGTTTTATCGTTAGTCATGTTTTAGTTGACCAGTAGAGGTATCTTTGCTTTTTGTTGTGAATCAAACAGGTTAGGAGATAAACGCTTTAAATACGGAAGCTCAGGTGAGTGCAATTTAACTATGTATTTATTATTATAAGAAATATTTATAACATAAAAATATTAAAGTGAAACGTGCTCTGAAAACTGACCCAGTTATCGAAAAACCAATAGCAGGTGTAACGGAACTGCAATCCATTTAAAAATAATGTTTTGCATATGTACCTACAAAGAATGTATATTAATGTTACATAATTGTGATACTAACAATAATTATCTACCTATAATTCTATATGGGTTTTATTGTAGCAATAAAAGTTTACAAGAAAATCAAATCGAGTTCTGTGAAGCTGAACTAAATAAATCTAGACCCAAAATTCCTTGATCATTAGAGCCCTTTTTAACGGTTTTTAAAGGTTTAGTGTTTTATTCTATAAAAATTATTGAGGACATATTGACAATATATTATTATTTTAAGGGTATTAATGACTTTCTATCAAACTTTCTTTTCGTGGGCATTAACATGAGTATAATATGAGTACAAATCTGAGCCAATCACTATTGCAAATTAGGCCTTCATTATTGAAAAAGCGACAACTTAGAGCATTTTCAACGTTTGTAGGGAGCCGCAGCACGAAATCACTGTTTTCAATAATAAATAATTATGTATTCATTAATAAAAATCGCAGAAATTATGTGCTCTTTATGTGCTCCCAATTTAGTCAATGAGCGTTTCTATAATTTGTAGGGAGGTGCAGCACGAAGTCCCTCTTTTCATTAATAAATAACTATGTTCTCCTTAACGAAAAGCACAGGAATTATGTGTTCTTTATGTGCTCTTAATTTACTCAAGAAGCGACTTTCGTGCTCTTATAGGTACCATTCAACTTGGAACTTTTTCAATATTTGTAGGGAAGTGCGTGCAACACGATATCGCTCTTTTCATCAACAAATAATTAGGTTCTTTGGTAAAGATCGAAAGAAGAGGACTCCACCACCACTGTACCATAAAAAGTTCGTGGCGGTCTCACCCCCATAAAAAGTTATGGGGGTTCAAAGTTAATAAATATGCCAATTTTTATACATTTCTAGGCATGTAAATATTTATATAGTCATTCTTAAACAATATTCAAAGGTAAAACTAATGAAAAATACATAAAAATATTGAGAAAGTTATATAAAACATTATTTAAATATCTTTATCAATAGGGTAGGTTAGGTTAGGTTAGGTTATCGGGTTTTGTTCCTCTTTCGATCCCCCACCTCCACCCGCTTGAAAATATTTTTTTTTATTGAATTTTATTTGAATTATAGTCCTATGTAAATTGACAAAATAATCAACTTTCAACCCCCATAACTTTTTATGGAGGTGGGACCGCCGCAAATGTTTTATGGGGTTTTACTCAGGTGACCACCCTCGTTCGATCCCCCCTACCATCTTTCGACCCCCCCCCCATATCCCCGCACACCCATCGAACCCCCATCATTTTTTATGGGGGTGAGACCGCCACGAACTTTTTATGGTACAGTGGTAGGGGAGACCTCCTCTTTCGATCCCACCCATCATCCCATCATCTAGACATTTACCGGTGCTTCCAAAGGGAAAGCACAGGAATTATGTAATTTTAATGTACTTCCAATTTGATGAAGAAGCGATTTTCGTACTCCAATCCCATTGGTTTCAATCATCTTCAATGTTTTTCGAGGGTGCTTGGATTGACCCAATGCGAACGAAAAAGATTCAACACTTAAATTCTGACCTACTTCTGAAGCACATAAACCTTCTGTGGCAACAACTATTTTTTACTTTACGAAAAAATTCTTGGACGTATTTGCAATGTTTAATTTTACTTTCTCTTAATGATCGCCATGTATTTTATTTGATAAAATTTTGTTCAGTAGGTGACAAAATTATATCAAACACCTACCACTTAATATTCGTATGAGGCCCTGTCAATCAATTATTACTGAAATAATGTTTCGTAAATGTCTAGTAGCAAAAGGCACTTGAGTGGATAAAAATGTGTCTGGCTTTGTTTGGAAGATTGATCGGTAGTTAATACTTTATAAATTTATCATTATACCAACACGTATTCGAGCATGTGACTACATAATACATAGCAGCGAATAGACGACGCAACGTGTTGAACGATCTCTCCAGCAATTATAACATTCTGCATATGGAATTTCGCTCGTTAAAAATAGTAACATATATAGGTACACGGAATCTACAATAGACAGTAACAGATATAGGTACACGGAATCTACAATAGACAGTAAAACATAAGGCACAGTAATTTACTCTATATTATTCATTATGAAGCAATAGGAATTTGACACTTTAGAAAATGTAACCTATAATTTTCGGTTTTACAGTTTTTATCGTATTTTATATACTATAAGCGAATTCAATATGCCATTTTCGTTACTTTATGAATGGATCCGTACCTTAGGTTAGTAGGTAGCATCCTACTGTTACATAGTATTTATAATTTGCTGTTTAGGTCACTGGAACAATATTACGTCCAAATCATTTTTTAAAAATTGCTGTCTAAGGCCGGTTGTCCACGAATCCGATCAGACTGAAGTAGGAACAATTCATGTACAAGTTTTGGTACAAAATACGATATTTGTGTAACAGTAAAATACTTTTATTTTTGAAAATAGCAGAAACCTTTATAAAGAAAAGTTTTTGAGACTTAAAGAGTAGTTACAAATATGCAACCATATCTATTGATTACAAAAATACATATCAGAAAAGTACAACTGACGAAATGAATATTGAGACACAACAGATGGTATCTTTGAGACTTTTTTTGTAAAAAATCATAACTTTTTCCGAATATACCAGCATGCACCTACTTTTAAATTTTGTAGATTTTCGGAAGATTACCGTAGGATAAATAAAAAGAATATAATTGTAATATTGCCTTTTTGAGAAAGTTATCCAAGGTTTTCGGGTGAAAGTACTATAAATTAAATGAACATGTATATGAATAAAATTATATTAAAGTACTAAACGTGTTAAAAAAATTAATGTTATCTAATGATAAATAATCATCTATTAGGAAATTTTGTTACCACAAAAAAGTGCAAAAGTTTATACCAATAATGTGCTATAAATATCTATGATTCTAGCATATAATGGTAATTGTTTCGGCTATCTTCTCTCACGATACGATATTATAGAATTACTTGCCGATTAAAACGCCTAATCAAAAAATGTGTGGCCTTAGACTTATTACCTTTGATATCGACGATATTATTGTTTAATCGGAATTTTTAACTGAAAATATATGTGAATTATCATTTCTGAACATACTTACAGCTTATGTAAACACTGCTTCCGAATGTTATTAAGTACTTTCCTAGTTAACTTAAAATGTGCGGGGCGCGCCGTATTATTAATTGCAATAGGTAAAACTGCATATACAGTGGCGTAGCGTAAATTTCTGCCATCCGGGGTGAAATTAAACAAATACGCAAAATATGTAATCGCTAAATTTGCCTCACCATATTTATTTGATATGAATAGGTGCATAATTCAAAGGAGCGTGATGATCCATGTCAGATTCTTAAGTTGTATTGGGTCCTTTAATTGATGTTATCCTGTTACTATATTTATTGTCGCTGGGGTAGTCATTATCATAAGGTCGTCAGACCTAAGACTAATTGAACACGCACTTCCATTCTTTCCTGTCTTGAGCTAATATTCGTATTTTTCCTAAAGCTAGGACTTCCCACATCCTTAACTATTTGTAATCTACCCCTCCTAACTCCTGTTTCTGTCTCTAGTATGTCTCTGACTAGACCTTTATGTATGAGAAGGTGTCCTACCAACCTATCCCGCCTATTTCTTATTGACTTCATAGAGTCCTCTGTTCTCCTATTTTTTCTAATACCTCTTCATTTCTAACCTTCTCTATCCAAGGTATCCTCATCATTTGCTTATAACACCACATTTCGAACGCTTCTAATCTTTTCTTTTCCGCCGCGCCAATCCTCCAAGTTTCGCACCCACTCTCCAAACATATCTTTTATTTCCATATATATATTCCAGTCTTGTAAATTCTAATAAAATTGCAAAAAAGGATTAATTTTTATATTATTTATTATTATCAGTTATTGGTTCATCTCCTGCTTCGTACGTTCGTATTTACTTGAATATCTCTTTCACTTTAAGGTTTCAGGAGAATTAGGATGAATGTCTGGTTTGCTATATTATCTGTTGCAGAAGTAATAATACTTCTTCTGCTTCTCTTCAAATCATTTGTTGTAAACTCGAGGTTTTGAGTGACTATTTGGATATTGTGTGTAGGATCTGCATCATTTTGCTAACATTTATGCTATATGCAGTAGTGCAAAATGTACTTAAATAGAATATAAAAGAGTTTCTTATTTAACCTTGATTAAAATTTATAGTCTGATGAGCGATTCGAGTTTTTTTTTGGTATGCTTGCCTACGATTGTTTTAGGACTTCAGCCTTTGTTATAATGTGAACCGTTTTCGACCTTTATCTTTTGTTATGCATACATATAATGTAAGAAAAAATGTCGTCTGTACGATTAAGGTAAACGCACTAGTACTTGACACCGCGTTAATAGTTGACATTTTCGATTTTAACCGTTCAGAATAGGGAATGAAGAAATTTTTTTAATATTCTGTGAACGCCAGGATGAAATAGTGACATTTGTGAGGCGACTATACAATTGTGGAATTATTCATTTTAAAATTTAATTTTGAAAATTTTATTTCTTTGTTATATTTGTATGTGCAGTCCCATGCACAAGAGCACCCGAGCTCCTCAATGGGAATTTGTAATATTACAATTTGTATGCTATACAATAAATTGAATTCAATTGAAAAAAAAAAAAAATAACCGCCATTTGGCGCCATTTTTGTGTTGCATGGTCGCATGGAGTTTATTTGTCGTGAATTTACTTAGTGTAAGTGATAAGAAGGTAAGTTTATAAAAAAAAAGTTTTTAAGTGAAACTTTGCGGAATTGTAATTGTAGTTGTATTATTTTGATGTGGAGATATAGGATAAATAAATGTTCTTAAAA